GTTTTGAGTTATCATATGATCAATAAAAGGTTACATGCATTTATAAATTCTAAATAACTTTATGCTTTAGATTTATTGAATGTAAACTGAAATTTATTTTAAATAATCTTAAATTGAGAATTCAGATTTGCTTTGATATTTTGATTATGGTTATATTTAGTTTCACAAACATAAAACATAAAATTTAAAACAATTAATACTAATAAAATAAATAATTTTAATAATGATAAAATATCATATATCTAGCTCATTAGAACAATTATTTTGACCAAACTATGTTTATTGTTAAATTTATTTTTAGTTTTTAATCTCTTAAAAATAAGCACTACAAAAAATTGTGATTGTATTTGAAAATAATATTATATAAATAAAATATAAGTTCTAGATAATTTTCTGTAATTGAAAGACATTATAGTCAACTAAATATATGAAAAATAAATAAAAATTCAATAATACTAATTATAAAGTATTTTATTACTCTAAAAGTATATTTTATGTTATTAAAAATATTTTTAAATGTATTATTACTATTTTGTGAACTTTCCTTTTTTATGAAATTATATTATATATACATATTTTTTATGTTATTTAAAAATATTTTAAATGTATTATTACTACTTTGTCAACTTTCCTTTTTTATGAAATCATATTATATATACATATATTTTCGTTTTAAATTTGTTTTTATAACTTTATAAAAAAAGTTTTTTATTACATATCTTTTTTGAAATTTTTGAAAAGGAAAAACTAAAAATAAAAAAATTAATAATATTATTTTCAACTCATTAAGGGTATCAATGTAATTAACCATCGTGAGAATGAACGTGAGAGCGACACATAAGAAACTGACTTCTGAAATAATATTATAGAGATATTATATAACTCTATAATTTTGTTGTTTAAGTTTCTTATTCGTCCTTATTAATATATAGTAATTTGTTTTATATATTTTAATTTATATTATTATTGATTGTTATTACTTATTAATATATTTTTGAGTTTGATACATAGATTATAATCTGAAATAATAAAATATATAATCTTCTTTGATATAGAGTTTTAGCTTCTGCAATTTGCATACAATACATTTTAACATTTATTTAGATATATTATAGATAAATATTTGTTAATGATAATTTATATTTTCATGTTGTATTTAAATGATACTTTAACATCTATCACTTTAGTATTTTACGAGATTTTATATGTAATATATTATTATTTATTGATAATTTATTTTTATAAACTATAACTAAAAAGAAAATCCACACGGCTGTGCGGATCAAGATATAATTGTTATTTAATATAGAAGTAGATTCTTAATATTATGTAAGTAAAGTCAATAAACTATAAGAGAAATTATTTTTCAGTTTTGATGGAAAGTTTATTCACTACTAAGACAAACTAGATCTTCACCAGCACAACCGTGCGGGTGATTATTTTTATTTTTATAGACATAATTATTTGTCTTACATGACTAATTGTAATATTTATCATATTATTAATTTTTTAATTTATATTATTAAAACATAACAATTTTATTGTTCACATGCAATAATTTTATTTATTTGTTTTAAATTTCAGTGATAACATATTTTAAATCATGTGATACAAAATTCTAAATTAAAAATATAATTGGTT